ACTTCTTCTTAAAGGGGAATTTTAAGAGTCCCCCTTAAAATTTCTTGCAGAGCTGGTTTGGAGGTCACATATTCTTTCAGTTCCTGCCTGTCTTGGAAGCTCTTTATCTCTCCTTCCATTTTGAATGAGAGCCTTGCTGGATAGAGTATTCTTGGTTGCATGTTCTTCTCATTTAGGACCCTGAATATATCCTGCCAGCCCTTTCTGGCCTGCCAGGTCTCTGTGGAGAGGTCTGCTGTTACCCTAATATTCCTCCCCATGAAAGTCAGGGACTTCTTGTCTCTTGCTGCTTTAAGGATCTTCTCTTTATCTTTGGAATTTGCAAGCTTCACTATTAAATGTCGAGGTGTTGAACGGATTTTATTGATTTAAGGGGGGGGATCTCTCTATTTCCTGGATCTGAATGCCTGTTTCCCTTCCCAGATTGGGGAAGTTTTCAGCTAGGATTTGTTCAAATACATATTCTGGACCTCTGGCCCTTTCGGCGCCCTCGGGAACCCCAATTAAACGTAGGTTTTTCTTCCTTAGGCTGTCATTTATTTCCCTTAATCTGTCTTCATGGTCTTTTAATTGTCTGTCTCTTTTTTCCTCAGTTTCCCTCTTTGCCATTAACTTGTCTTCTATGTCACTCACTCGTTCTTCCACCTCGTTAACCCTCGTCGTTAGGACTTCTAGTTTGGATTGCATCTCATTCAATTGATTTTTAATTTCTGCCTGATTGGATCTAAATTCTGCAGTCATGAAGTCTCGAGAGTCCTTAATGCTTTTTTCTAGAGCCACCAGTAGGTGTATAATAGTGCTTCTGAATTGGCTTTCTGACATTGAATTGTAATCCAGATTTTGTAACTCTGTGGGAGAGAGGACTGTTTCTGATTCTTTCTTTTGAGGTGAGGTTTTCCTTCTAGTCATTTTGCTCAGCGCAGAGTGGCCAAAAACAAGTTGTATTGGGAAAAGGAGAGAAAGAGAGAGAAGGAAAGAAAAGAGAAAAAGAAAAAAGAAAAAGAAGAAAAAAAGGAAAAAAGAGAAGAAAAAGAGAAAGAAAAAGAAGAAAGGTAAAAAAAAGGGGGGGGTGGGGAAAGCAATCAGAAATCAAAAGAAAAGAAAAAAAAAAAACACGGGGGAGTATCTTCTGATTCTGTATACTTTAAGTCCCTTGACTTTCCCTGGAACTGGTCCGTCTAGCTGGTCTTCTGGGGGAGGGGCCTGCTGTGCTGATTTTCAGGTGTTAGCACTTGGGGGAGCTGCTCTGTCCCTGCCTGCTGCAGGGCTCAGTGGGGGTTGTTTACCCCGTGAGGTCCCAGGAGGAACAGCCGCAGTTGCTATGGCAGCTCTGGAAGCCTGGATTCAGCCTCCGCAGGAACTACGGGGCTCTCAGTCCTGTCCACAGGGCCTGGAGGCTCCAGGGCGGGGCCGCTGATCTGCTCAGCTCAGGGCAGAAGCGTCCTTGCGGTCCTGGGCCCTCCCGGCCTCTGCCTGTCCCGGGGGGAGGCAGGATCCTGGGCTGTGTCCCGGCGCCCTGTGCTCCAGGGCCTCCGCTGTTGGATTCGCGCTCCCAGTCGCTCAGCCGCCGCTGTGCGGAGCCGCTCGAGCCCCTTCGAGCTGCTCCCGGCCGCGCAGCCCCCTCCGCACGGAGCCTCTTCCTCTGCCCGAGCCGCCACCGCCGAGCTGCTCCCGGAGCCGCGCAGCCCCCTCCGCAGAGTCGCCGCCCGAGCCCCTCCAAGCTACTCCGGGTCCGCTGTGCGCGCTGCAGCCCTTAGGGAGCTCGGCACACTCTCCTGCGCGCGCAGGTGTCTGTTAGTGTCCCAGGGAGCCCGAGGGCATCCCCGCCCTCCTGGGTCCTGCTCCAACTCCCTGCGGGCGCCTTTCTCCCGGGATGGTTGGTGCAGCTCCTGCTCCTCCGGGACGGGGCTCTCCTGTCCTGGGGACACTCGCCCCGGCCTCAGCCCGGCTCCTCGCGGGGCCCCTCCCCCTCGGAGGCCTTTTGTTTCTTTATTTCTTTTTCCCCGTCTTCCTACCTTGATAGAAGCGCGAACTCTTCTCACTGTAGCATTCCAGCTGGTCTCTCTTTAAATCTCAGGCCGAATTCATAGATTTTCAGGATGATTTGAAGGTTATCTAGGTAATTTGGTGGGAACAGGTGATTTGGAGACGCTACTCTTCCGCCATCTTGCCCCTCCTCCAGGGAAGTGTTTTTCTATAGTGTAATCCCCTATCAGTCTCTCTGTCTCTCTCCTCTTTCTGTAATCAGAGCCCCCTCTCATCCACAGCACCCATGATTCTTTTCTCCCCCAAACCACATTTCCACACCTTCTACCTTCCACAATATGGCCTCTTTTCTCCTTCTAGTTATGCAGTTTGTTCTCTCAGTCCTCAGATCCATTTCTTGGGTCTTCAAAATGATTTGCTATGTATCCAGCTGTGTTCAAGAGACAGGAAGCATGGGGTCCTTCCCCCTACAACTCTTCATCTTAACTCCTCCTCTGGACAATAAGTGCATTCAATTTAAATAGTCTGAAAATCTAAACTAAACTAAACTAAAGGCTAAGATTGTCAGATTGAATGTAAAAATCAAGATGCAACTATATACTGTTTACAATAAATACTCTTCAATTGTAAACACACAAAAAACTAAAGTATGGAAAAAGATGTATTATGAAAGCAATAAAAATAACAGAGCTTTAATGGCTACACTAATATCATACAAAGTAGATTTCAGAACAAATAAGATTACCAAAGGATAAAGAAAATCCATTATAATAATAAAGGGATAAATTAATCAAAAGACATAACAATACTAAATGTTCATGCTTTTTTTTTCAGTTCATGCTCCTCATAACAGACTAAAAATGTATGAAACAAAAACTGATAGAACTACAAGGGGAAATACATAAATTCATGGTAGATTTCAATACCACCTCCTTAATAATTTATAGTTCTAGTACAAAAATTTCTTTATGATGAGAATTATTAAGATCTACTCTCTAGACTCCTAACTCTGGGAAACGAACAAGGTGTGGAAGAAAGGGAGGTGGGCGGGGGATGGGGGTGACTGGGTGATGGGCACTGAGGGGGGCACTTGATGGGATGAGCACTGGGTGTTATTCTATATGTTGGCAAATTGAACACCAATAAAAAATAAATTAAAAAAGATCTACTCTCTAAGCATTTTTCAAATACACATTACAGTATTGTCTGCTATAGTCATCATGTTGTATATTACATCTTCAGAATTTATTCCTCTTATAATTGGAGCATTGTATCTTTTGACCATCTTCATCCAATTCTCCTGCTTTCCCCTCTGCTGCCCCTGGCAACCAGAAATTTGATCTCTGTTTTTTTAAAGATTATTGATTTATTTATTCATGAGAAGCACAGAGAGAGAGGCAGAGACATAGGCAGAAGGAGAAGCAGGCTCCCTGTAGGGAGTCTGATACAGGACTCAATCCCAGGATCCCAGGATCACGACCTGAACCAAAGGAAGAGGCTCAACCACTGAGCCACCCAAGCATCCCTGATCTCTGTTTCTATGACTTTGGATTTTTTTGATTCCCTGTATAAGTGAAATTATGCAGTATTTGTCCTTCTCTGACTTATTTCACTTAGCATAATGCCCTCAAGGTCCATCCATGTTGTTGCAAATGGCAGGATTTTCTTATTTTTTATGACAGAATAGTAATATATATTCTAAACTAAGATAATAAAAGCAAATTAAGAGATGCCTGGGTGGCTCAGTGGTTTAGCGCTGCCTTCAGCCCAGGGCGTGATCCTGGAGACCCAGGATTGAGTCCCATGTCAGGCTCCCTGCATGGAGACTGCTTCTCCCTCTGCCTGTGTCTCTGCCTCTCTCTCTCTCTCTCTCTCTCTCTCTCTCTCTCTCTCTCTCTCTGTATCTTTCATGAATAAATAAATAAAATCTTTTTTAAAAAAGAAAAACAAATTAAATCAAAGTAAATAAAAGAAAAAATAAAGATCAAAGCAGAAATCAATGAAATGTTTCATCAAATGATGATGTTTGATGAGAATTTTTTAAAATTAGGGATGGATGTTGGATTTTTAAACTAATTATTCAGCATTTATTGAGATGATTATATGTTCTTTTTAAATGTTTCCCAATAGTGTAAATTATACTGGTTGATTTTATTTTATTTTTTTTAATAAATTAATTTTTATTGGTGTTCAATTTACCAACATACAGAATAACACCCAGTGCTCATCCCGTCAAGTGTCCCCCTCCATGCCCGTCACCCATTCACCCCCACCCCCCGCCCTCCTCCCCTTCCTCCACCCCTAGTTCATTTCCCAGAGTTAGAAGTCTTTATGTTCTGTGTCCCTTTCTGATATCTCCCACACATTTCTTCTCCCTTCCCTTATATTCCCCTTCACTATTATTCATATTCCCCAAATGAATGAGAACATACACTGTTTGTCCTTCTCCGATTGACTTGATTTTAAAATGTGAAGTAACCAAGGTGCATTTCTGAGTTAAATCCCCCTTGATCATGATATGTTATCCTTTCTATATATTTTTGGATTGCATTTGCTAAAATTTTGTTAGTAATTTTCGCATCTCTGTCCATGAGGGATATGGGTCTCTCTTTTTATTTTCTTGTAATGTCTTTTTTTCTGGGATTGATTTCAGAATAATTTTGTCTTCATGAAATGAATTTGGAACTATTCACTGCTTTTTAATTTTTCTGGAAGAGTTTATGTAGAATTGGTATTCCTTCTTCCTTAAATGTTTCATAGATAAAAAGACATCTGAACTTGAAGTGTTCTTTTGAAAATATTTTAACATCATTTCAATTTCTTTCATACATAGTGAGCTATTGCAAGTTATCTGACTTGAAGCGGTAGGTCCCCAAATCAGTCCTTCGGGGACCTTAAGTGTGAGCAAGTATGAGGGGAGAGCCGGTGGGCCTCGGGGTGGTCGGGGCAGTAGATCTGTGACGTGCTAACTACATACATGTAGGTTCTGAGGAGCTCTCGCCCTTCTCCTCACAGGCGTCATTGCACTCATCCTCGTGGTCGTGCCCGGGCAGGTGAGGACGGTGGGCTGAGGAGGGGAGACGGAGACGGGGTTCCTTAAGCCTGGGCGGGGGTGGGGGCGAGGCTTGGTCGAGCTATCGGAGTCCCGGCAACACCGGGAACTGCCGGCAGAGCACAGAGGCCGAGGTCCTCGGTGGGACCGTGGGTAGGGAACGGACCGGGCGGTGTAGAAAAGGCCAGGGAACAGGGAAGGCTGTGGGCTCGTAACTGGGTCCCCGACATTGGTAGTACACTGGGCAGAGAGAGGGTCAAGGCTTGCGGGGGGCGGTGGGTCTGTGTTGGGACTAGACAGACACCTGCCTTGACCGTGCCAAGACAGCCATAGGCACTATGCAAAGGACGGTTTCTTTCTCTGTGTTCCAGTAAAGCGGTATTGAAGGGTGGGAAATGAACCTCGTAAACGGGAATGTGATAAAAGCAGCGGTGACTGAGGTTTAAATTTCCGGCAGTGTTCTCTCCAGTGCCTTTAGTGTGGGGGAATCTAGCTGTGAGACTAAGCCTCGTGTTTTCTTTCGCCTGTCCTTAAGGTGATTTCTCGGCCAGCTTGGCTGATGTAGATGATCTTGCAGCCAGTACATTTGGTGTGACCACAGCGTGTACTGTATACTTACCCTTGGTTGGTTTTGAATGTATTTTCGAAGGAAAGATATCAAAACGTTTGGCCTTGGAAGTGGTATACCTCTCCGTTAGAGTATGTTTCCCAAATACCAAGATTCTACTTTCAGGGTGAAACATGAGTGGCCGTGTGAGATCCAGATCCAGATCCAAACAAGGAAGAGAGGATCGAGGATCTGCCCAGCCAGCTGCGGGTGTGGTTGTGAGTACTGCCATATTTGATGTTTCCCATTACCACACATCGCATTCTCTGGAAATTTTGATGAGCTACAAACGTACCGATACAGCGATAAGAGCTCCTCGGCTGATAAAGGGAGGGAGACTCTGAACCCGAAGGATTCCATATTTGTGCTGCCCGTGGTGGAAATACACGCTGTGACTTCTTGGTCATGTTTATTAACAACAGATTGCACCTGTCCGCCCCAGCAGAGTTTACAGTAGCCTCCGAAGTGGTTGGGGGTACCTCTTCTTGAGTACCCGCTGTGTGGGAAGAGAAACTTTTAAGAATAAGTCTAGAGAATCGTGTCTGGGGACTGCCTTTATACTTACTCATTATCTGCCCTAAAAGTGTGTAATGTATATTTTATACTGTTGGCATGTGTTAACGACACAACTATTTATTTGTATGCAGACACCGCCCCCCACACAGGCCGAGCAGCTGAAACCAAAGGAGAAACCAACTAAGACTCAGGATATTATACCTGATCAAGGGAAAGAAGTTGAAGGAGCACCTGTTATTCAAGGTGAAGGGAAAGGGAAGAACAGTGCTTATGGGGGCGGGGCGTGTATGTGTGCATCATGCATTATGACATAACCAGGCCAGGAGGAAGGAAAACATTCCAGGAGAACCTCGGTCATTTCCGAAAAAATGGATTGAAATGGGAAGAGGAGAGTACGGTTTACAGCTTCATGCAGTCCTTCCCGGTACTGAATTTCCCCTTCGTCCTCAAGATTTGATCAGTGTCCTTGAAAACAGTCTTCTAAATTACAGGACACTGTTTAACTACAAAGGCATACATCGATTTACTAGTCTAATTTGTTCCTAGAACATTCTGAGGTGCCCTTTTCATTCATTTCATCGAAAGCATAAGCAGCTTTTAACAGTATGTGTGGAGTGCCAAGTCAACATACCTTCTAACATGTGGAGCTAAACCGATTTGCTTTAGGGATGGTAGCTCCATTTGAAAAAGGAGAAAACGAAGGCTCGGGGACTGTGCTTTGCTAAAGACTGCTTGGCACACGGAGACATAATTCAGATTACATTACGGGGTTTGTGTTCCTGGGGGACCCGGCTAGCTCAGTCGGTAGAGCATGTGACTCTTGAACCCGGGGTCGAGAGCTGAAGCCCCACATTGGGTGTAGAGATTACTTAAAAGAAGAATTTAGATTTTTGTTATTTTTTCTAAAACCTTTTTTAAAGATTTGTGTTATTCCTACCATATGTACTGTCGTACAAACAAGTGAGCTGTTTTGTATAAAATGCTGAATAGTGAAATGTGTCTGCAATGTAAAGTAGCTTAATACTGGCACAGGCATAAATCCAGTTCAGTGGAGCAGGAGTGAGACTCCAGAAAAGTACTCAGTGAATCATGGCCCCTGTTCGATTCTTCATTTGGTATGGTATGTTTGGTAAGGCGTGGATCATTCAGGAAAGTGGCATCAGGGTCACCATATTATTATGATTTTTATGTGCCTTTAAAATGTAGTTAAATAATTTTGTGACTAGGAAAATCAAAAATATCTTAAAATGATTACGAAAGAAGAAATTAATGCCTTCCAAATATAGCATTTTTATCAATTACTTGTAGTGAATTATTGATATTATTTGTCTGTGGGTTATTTTCAGAATTCCCCATTAAGTGGTTTCTACAATATGACTGGCATTAAAGCCCATTAATTTCTTTCTACCCTACTTCCTTTATTCTCATTGTAAGAAGTTTATTAGTCAGTAATGTTTTGCTATTATTTTTTTCTTTGTTCTATACATGAGTCATTTATCATTAGTTAGAGGGACTTTATATTGAAATCTAACTAGTTAATTTTGTCTAATAAAATTTTGAGGCGAGGGTCTCACTAATATAGGATTTGTCATATTGGCCCACAAATAGAATCAGGTAATCATTCTGTATATTACACGTTTTTACAATATTTTTTAATTTAAGAGTGTTAGGGAGAGCACACAAGTGGGGGGAGGGGTAGACAGAGAGGGAGACGCAGACTCCCTGCTGAGCACAGAGCCCCATGTGGGTTTCAGATTTCAGGACCCTGCCTGACCTGAGTGGCAGGCAGAAGCTTAACCAGTTGAACCACCCACGTGTCCCAGGAAATTACATTTTAATTACCATCCTATCTGTGGTGTAGGCTTCAGATTTCTTAGATAGCTGATGCTTTCTATTCTCACTATGGTAACATAAAGGAAATACAGATTTAGTGTGGTTTATCTTTAAAATGTCATTTGAAATACAGTATCATAATACAGAAAAACAAAGATGTGAAGTCCATCTTTCCATCACTTTTTTTTTCACACTAGCCTACATGCTTCTGTCTCATATAACCGAAAGAATATTATCAGTTCTTTGGATATATTTTATGTTGGACACCTGGGTGACTCAGCAGTTGATCGCCTGCCTTCAGCCCAGGGCCTGATCCTGGAGTCCCAGGATCGATTCCCACATTGGGCTCTGTTCATGGAGCCTGCTTCTCCCTCTGCTTATGTCTCTTCCCCTCTCTGCATCTCTCATGAATAAATAAATAAATTTTTTAAAAGATATATTTTATGTTTACTGCTTAAACCTGTAACCTTTCTCTTTTTTTAGGGCCTGAAATGAAATCTGAACTACAGGAAGTGGCTCAGCCAATGACTGGGGATAAAAGCGAAGATGGTCCTGATGTGAAAGGGCTGAAATTTCCAAACCTAGAGCCCATTAAAATGCCAGAAGCAGGTATGTGATCCATTATGAACGTAAAAAGTATGTGGTTTCTGTTTTCTTCAGTATTACATCTTTCATAATATAAGTGTAATATTACTGTTACTTTCATAATAGAATTCACCTATAAGGATACTTTGACAGGTAGTTAGAACCTAAATGCCTGACTCCCTGACTTATTAGACGGTCAGGTATAGAAACAAATTGGGTCAAATCGTGTTGAATTATAAAGATGAAGACAGTTGTATCTGAGTGGTTCTGTTGGCTAAATATCCCACTCTTTATTTTGGCCCACTTCATGATTTCAGGGTAATGAGATAGAGTCCCATGTCAGGCTCTGTGCTCAGTGCAGAGACTGCTTGGGATTCTCTCTCTCCCTTGGCTCCACCCTTCCTAGTGTGCTCACTCATTCTATCTATAAATAAATTTTAAAAATCTTTTTGAAAAAAGGTGAAAATGTTTTATTTTATAGTATTAGTACTTTAACCAATAGCTAATAATTTTACAGTTTAATACTTTCTGCCTTTTAACAAATACAAAGTGATTTGGAATAAATACCAGTTTGTATAAAATATGGTGAGGCAGTGAAGTAAGTTCTAGTAGCAGCTGAACATAATTTGTGTGACTCTTAGAGAACCCCTTAATTCAAAATCTCACCCTTAATCACCCATAATTAGTGAATTATGGGAGGTGATGGATTCATTCATTACTTATATTTATCTGGTAGTCACTCCACCGTGTAAATATTGAACAAATCATTGTGTTGTACACTTTACACATACACAATTATATTAATTATATTTGTGAATTATTCTTAATAAAGATTTTTCAAAAGCGCTTACTTTTAGGGGCACCTGGCTGGCTCAGTTAAGCATCTTCCTTTGTCTCTGGTGGTGATCCTGGAATACTGGGATGGAGCCCCATGTCACACTCCCTGCTCAGTGGGGAGTTTGCTTCTCCTCTGCCCCTCCCTCTGCTTCTTTTCTCTGGCTCACACTCTCTCGAATAAACAAAATCTCTTTTTAAAAAAAAAATAAAGCTCTGTTTTTTTTTAAAGATTTTATTTATTTATTCATTAAAGACCCAGAGAGAGGTAGAGACAAAGACAGAGGGAGAAGCAGGCTCTTTGCAGGGAACCCAATTCTGGACTCGATCCCCAGATCAGGATCACGCCCTGAGCCAAAGGCAGATGCTCAACCACTGAACTACCCAGCCATCCCCCACAAAAAGCACCTATTTTTAGAAATAAATATCTGACTTTTCTAGGTATCTTTTTATTCTTCTCTATTTCCCATTTCTTCTCCCTCCCTGTCTCTATTCATTTCTTCCTTCCTTTTTCTTTTTTACCATGCTCTAAGTCACAATATATATGAGCTTCACATTTTCATGTCAGAAATGAAGGCAGAGGAGATCCCTGGGTAGCTCAGCGGTTTAGCACCTGCCTTCCGGCCCACGGCATGATCCTGGAGTCCCGGGATCAAGTCCCACATCAGGCTTTCTGCATGGAGCCTGCTTCTCCCCCTGCTGTGTCTCTGCCTCTCTCTCTCTCTCTCTGTGTGTGTGTGTGTGTGTGTGTGCGTGTCTCGTGAATAAATTAAATATATATATATATAAATTATATAGTCTCACTAGCTTTGAGTCTCTGCCTTCATTTCTTTCTTTTATAAAAAATTATATAGTCTCACTAGCTTTGAGCTAGTCTCAAAGCTTCTTTCTTTCTTTTCTTTCTTTCTTTCTTTTTTTTTAAAGATTTTATTTATTTATTCACGAGAGACACAGAGAGAGAGGCAGAGACATAGGCAAAGGGAGAGGCAGGCTCCATGCAGGGAGCCCAGTGTGGGACTCAATCCTGGGACTCCAGGATCACACCCTGAGCCAAAGGCAGATGCTCAACTGCTGAGCCACCCAGGCTTCCCTATATAATTTATTATACAAACTCAACACTGTCAAGTGTGAAAAAAGACATTATTCATAATCACACTAGGACTACAGGTTGAAATGGGGACAAATGGTTATCCTACTTAACCAATCACATTAGAACTAAAGTAAACCAAGGAAACATTTTTGGACTTCTGCATAGTAGAGAAAAAAGAGTTGTAGTACTGGAATTTCTATTTACTCAAGCAGTAACAAATGTGACATTACTGTTTTAATATCCTATGTTCAGAATATTTTTTCATGTTCTTTTATTGAAATAATACTGATTTAGAAACTTTATTTGGTTCAAGGTGCTTTTATGTGTTACTTGGATTTTTAGTAAAAGCACACAGAATTTTTGCTTTCATTTGTAGCTACTTTTTAATAGGTTCATTTCATTTAATATGTTCTGAACATGAACAGCCTTTTTGTTTCCTTATACCAATAGAAAGAGTGGTGTGTTTAAAATACATTAGTAAAATATGTTTGGAAGTGTATCTTATAAAACAAAAAGTGTGGTCCCTTGTGTACCGTTAATGTCATCTAAATAAAATTCTACTAAGTAATGTTCCCAACTGTTATTTTGTCTTACAGGTGAAGGGCAATCACAGGTGTAAACAAAAACAAGCTGGAACTATCAAGCTGTTCTGATGGCAGATATTTGACTCTTAAAATTCTCTTAATAAAGTTTTGAACTATCTGCAAAGAATCTTATAAATCTTTTATTAAAGTTATTATCAATACTTAATGATACTTAAAATTATATCACTTTGAAATTTTATATTCTGATTGAGCTGGTATACACAAATATATGTGTACATTGATATTCCTTCTAGCAATCTTGCTAAATATGACAATTCCACAAGTTTATATCTAGATCCTTTGTGATTTCAAAAATGTAGCTATTAATAGGCTACTTCTGACCAGAATCCTAACCACTGACATAAAATGTTAACACAGGGCACCTGGATGACTCAATGGTTGATCTCCTGCCTTCAGCTCAGGTCATGTTTCCGGGGTCCTGGGATGAGTCTCACATTAGGCTCCCCGCGGGGAGGCTGCTTCTCCAACTCTGCCTCTCTTTCTGTGTCTCTCATGAATACATAAATAAAATCTTAAAAAATTAAAAGTCAACACATAGTTTATATACTGTATTCTTAGGATAAAGTAATCTATAGAAAAGAAAATGTTAATCGGAGGACAAACATTATTATATGGTCTCATTCATTTGGTGAATATAAAAAATAGTGAAAGGGAATAAAGGGTAAAGGAGAGAAAATGAGTGGGAAATATCAGTGACGGTGACAGAACATGAGAGACTCCTAACTCTGGGAAACGAACAAGGGGTGGTGGAAAAGGAGGTGGGCAGGGGGATGGGGTGACTGGGTAATGGGCACTGAGGGGGGCACTTGACGGCATGAGCTCTGGGTAGTTATGCTATATGTTGGCAAATCGAACTCCAATAAAAATTTTTTTAAATTAATAAATAGGAGAAGAAATGTGTGGGAAATATCAGAAAGGGAGACAGAACATAAAGACTCCTAACTCTGGGAAATGAACTAGGGATGGTGGAAGGGGAGGAGGGCGGGGGGTGGGGGTGAATGGGTGATGGGCACTGAGGGGGACACTTGACGGGATGAGCACTGGGTGTTATTCTGTATGTTGGTAAATTGAACACCAATAAAAATTTATTAAAAACAAATAAATAAAATAAATAAAATAAAAGGTTTATAATATAAAACAAAAAAAGAAAATGTTATTAAATCATAAGAGAAAGTACATTTATAGTACTGTATTATAAAAAAAATCTGTACAAGTAGGCCCACATAGTTCTTTTTTTTTTTAAGACTATCCATCCATTCATGAGAGAAACAGAGAGAGAGAGGCAAAGACACAGGCAGAGGGAGAAGCAGGCTCCATCCAGGAAGCCCAAAGTGGGACTCGATCCCAGGACTCCAGAGTCACACCCTGGGCCAAAGGCAGGCTGTAAACCGCTCAGCCACCTAGGGACCACAGGCCCACATAGTTCAACAAACCATGTTGTTCGAGGGTCAGCAATAATCTGAATGGCCCCATTTCATTAAAAATATATCCATTCAGTTAATTCCATTTTATTAAGGATATAACAATAAAAGAAGATAGCATCTTATTCAAGGTCAACACATTAGTCCTTTTAATTTAATCAGTGTTATGATTTTCAGTGTAAAGTCTATTACCTCTGATGTAGTTTTGGAATGTAGGTGAAGTTTAGTAGGGTGAAGTCTGGAGCCAATGACCAAGAAAGAATTCTTGCGATGTCTTTGGTGCAAAATGGTGATTTTATTAAAGCAAAAGGACAGATCCCTTGGGCAGAAAAAGCTGCAGCCCCAGGTTGTGAGGGGTAGTTGATTATACACTTGGGAGTTGGAGGAGGTAAGGAAAAGGGAGGTTTCAAAAGCATTTTCATATGTTTGGGTAGACTCACAGGATACTGGAGGCCTTGAAATTGTCAAGGTTGATTTTCCTTCTAGCAAGGCATTAAAATTACGGTAGTTGGGAGCTTCCTGGAGGAATAAAACACCCTATCTTCTTCAAGTATCTGTCAATGGTCTACAGGTTATAAGGGCATTGAATTGTATCTACATTTCTTTCTGGAAGCTAGGTTATTGATAAGAATGCTTTGTTCTAGTAAATTACTAAGGTATTTGTAAACTGAGGGAGACTCATGTATTGTAATCTATAAGTTTAACTATCTTTTTCCTTTCCTTAGCTTTAGGGCAGTGAGGAATGTCACAAATATCTCACCTAGGGGGAGGGGTCATTTGTGGGGGGTCAGCTTGTGCTTTGTCCTCAGCTAGCCTTCTGTTCTGTCATCAGCTTCCTTGGTTAATTTTTTGGTGTCATTTTGTTTTTATTTTTATTTTTTATTCATTTTTTCTGTGAGAGATGGATGTAGTATGCTTTTTTTCAAATTTTTATTTAAATACTAGTTAGCATATAGTTATTATATATATATATATATATATATATATATATATATATAGCATATAGCATATTGGTTTCAGGAGTAGAATTCATCACTTCCATATAATACACAGTGTTCATTGATGAAGTTTTGGAATATAAGTGAGGTTTGGTGGGGTGAGGTCCAGAGCTGCCAACCAAGAAAGAATTCTTGAGATGTCTTTGGTGCAAAATGGTGGTTTTTTTAAAGCACAGGGACAGGACCCGTGGGCAGGAAGACTGCCTGGGGCCTGTGAGGGATGACTAAGTATATACCTGGGAGTTGGGAGGGGTTTAGTGTGGAGGCCGAGAAAATTAAGGCCATTCCACTTTAAGTTCAGCGTTAGCACAAGTACAGCCATCCCAGGCCCCTGTGAATAAGAGCTGAAATTTACATTACTTAAGTTACAGGGAAAAAAAAGTTTACAGCTTAACACCCTAGAAAGTCCCATATTAGAATGAGAACAGAGCCCAAGCCAGTGGCAGAAAGTCCCATATCAGAATGAGAACAGAGCTCAATGCCCTTGAAAGCCCCATATCAGAATGTAAACAGAACTTGAGAAATTCCTCCACCCCCTCTGGAGGTCCCCTAGACCAGCCCATAAAACTAAGCTGAAACCCACCTTGGGGTCCAGGTCCCTGCTCTGCTGTGTCGGGTACACTTCGACCCAAGCTCCAGCTTGTAAATAAACCCTCGTGTGTTTGCATTGGTGTCGGCTCCTTGGTGGTTTCTTGGATTCGCAGTCTTGGGCACAACATTTAGGATAGTGTATTCTCCAAGGAATTTTGGAAGCAAGGTTTCCAGGACCTTGAGGGGGCTAGCTATGGTTGGGAAAAGGTCATTTATTACCATCTAATATAACCTGAGTCATGAGACCCTTCAGATGTATATCGGTGGGCTGTGTGCTTGGGGGATGATCACCGACCCGTGCCTTGGGGTTTAGACAGAAAGGAAATTTCTAAAGGAAATTTTATATGTTAAAGCAGACTCCTAGATAAGATTGCCTTTTGCTCTTAACAAAGTATTAACATGGAGGTAGTTGAGTTCATAGAGGAATGTCCCCCTGCCTGTTTCTTTTCTTTTTTTTTTAAATTTTATTTATTCATGAGAGAGAGAAGCAGAGACACAGGCAGAGGGAGAAGCAGGCTCCATGCGGGGAGCCCGACGTGGGACTCGATCCCGGGTCTCCAGGATCACGCCCTGGGCCAAAGGCAGGTGCTAAACCGCTGAGCCACCCAGGCTGCCCGCCCCTGCTTGTTTCAAGGACTTGTCAGTGTGCTGCCCTGGGCTTTTGCTTTATCCTCAGCTAGTCCTCTGTTACCCCATCGTTAATCATAACAGCTGCCCTCCTTAATTCCCATCACACACATTTGGCCCATACCCCACCTACAGCCTTGCATCAACCTGTTGTTTTCAATAGTTAAGAGACTTTTATGCTTTCTTTCCCTCTCTTTTTGCTCCCTTCCCATATGTTCATTTGTTTTGTTTCTAAAATTCCAATATGAGTGAAATCATATGGTATCTGTGATTCTCAGACTGACTTGTTTCACTTAGCATAATATACTCTAGTTCCATCCACATCATGGCATAGGGCAAGATCTCATTCATTTTGGTGGCTGAGTAATATTCCATTGTATATATTACCACCTTTTTATCCATTCCTCAGTCGGTGGACATTTGGGCTCTTTCCATAATAGTTTGGCTATGGTTGGCAATGCTGCTATAAACGCGAATTCAAGTACCTCTTCAAAACTGTATTGTTGTATCCTTTCAGTAAATACCTAGTAGTGTAATTGCTATATCCCAACTTTTTAACTTTTTGAGGAACCTCCATACTGTTTTCCTGATTGTCTGCAAAGGTTCACATTCTCACCAATAGTGCACAAGTGTTCCCCTTTCTCCACATCCTCACCAACACTTCTTGTTTCTTGTGTTGTTAATTTTACCCATTCTGAGATGTGTGAGGTGATATCTCATATTCTGATTTAGTATGTTTGCTTCCTGGTGGTGTCATTTACGATGTTTTTTACTCTCCATTTTTCCTGGAGATGGAAATTCACTCTGAGGCCACTATTGCACTCAGATTATTTTTTATTATTATTATTATTATTATTATTATTATTATTAGTCTTGCAAAAACACTTCATTAGTGAGGTTCCTATTTCATCACACCAGGAGGCATACGATATCTGGCAGGTCCTACTTTTAATGCTGTTAAGGTCCATCAGTGGGTTAAGGTGGTAATAGCCTGATCCCTCCATGGAAAATTTCCCCATCATCCGTTTATCTAATGATCTCATCTGTTGATGATTGTTGCCTGAATCAGTAAGGTTTTGAAAACTTTTCTAAAATTCTATTAATTTTCTACATTCTTATGTAAGTAAAAACTTTCCTTCATCAACTTGGGCTATTGTGTTACCAAAAATAAAGTTAAGACAAGATAGAGATGTAATTCTCTCATTACAAATGCCCATTTTATTTTTTTATTATACTACATTTACTTATTTTTTTAAAGATTTTATTTATTTATTCATGAGAGACGCACACAGAGAGAGGCAGAGACACAGGCAGAGAGAGAAGCAGGCTCCATGCAGGGGGCCTGATGTGGGACTCGATCCCAGGTCTCCAGGATCA